CCACTGGTGTTATATTGTTGTATTAAACCATGTTTATTTTGGAGTGATATCAATGTTATTTCTGAAGCTTGTATTACGGTGTGATATTAACAGAGACACAAAACCGTGTAAAGATGTATAATGAGAGCAACTCTACGGATACTGTGCGGTGGTTTTCAATATTGCATAGAAGAGAAGATAAAAAAGGAGAAAAAAAGGACAAATCGCCCATGTTTCTTTACATATTCACTCAGCTTGTCTCCAGTACAGAGTAACCTATAGCTGTGATATCGTTAACAAAGTAATCTTTAAATCTTTCTGGCACAAAGTCAACACAAGGTGATCAGCTGATTTTAAGGTGGTGGCAATAACTATAGGACGCCAGTAAAGCCCACCTTGTTCCTTGTCGGTGTATCAGTAGACCTTAATAAAGATTTATACCGTATTGAAAATTGAATTGTTGCACTGAATCTGGATCCTAGTTGTTTTTTTTTTTTTTTTATTGTTTTCAAATACCTCAGCGAGTTTTCAGGCTAAAATATCTAGTGAAACCAGCTTAATACTCTGTAAGAGTGTGTGTGTGGGTGTGTGCGTGTGTGTGTGTGTGTGTGAGAGAGAGAGAGAGAGAGAGAGGGCTTAAAATAAAAATGCTTCGACTCCGGTTAAAAAAACACAATTTCCCATTAACTAGGGGAAATAAGTCTTCTTTACGTACCCCCCCCCCCTCAAAAATTGTTTGTTTCCAACACTTCGGAAATAAACAAGTGTGCATTGAGTGTTCTAGTCATCTGCATATTTAGATAGACAGCATTTGAATCAAAAGTTTGTGTCCATTTGTATACAAAATTATTTATTCATTTGTTTTTTAAGCAAAAAAAAAAAAAAAAAAAAAAAAGTAAGCACACTGAATGATGAGCTCCATGTCGGCTGCAGAAACGTTCGGGATGAGGATTTCTGACTTAAAAGACTCCGAGAGATCGTTGCTGAACAGAGCGCGGAAGTACGGGCTACACCCAGACATGATGATACGGTGGACGTGGAAATCTCGTCCGTCACACTTAATGGTGACGTCACAGAGAGCCCCGGATTCTCGGAGATCATTGAACACATCACAAGCTTGTTTACTTATTCTGCGTTTTATTATATCTCGCTCGGAGTCGGCTGGAACATATATAAGTATTTTACATATTTAATCATTTTAAGTATATTTTTCAACTAACGCCAATACAATAATATAATTGTGGAAAACGTGTGGAATATTTCTTTATTATAAAATTACAGACTTCATTCTATGTTGTGCGGAAGGAGAGTTACACGGCAGAACGTTACGGATGTCTTTGTTTAGTTATAGTTCTTTTATAATACACTATCAAATTAAATACCTATATGAACGCAAAAATGTGTGAGTTAGGTATCAATCTTAAAGTATTCGTTAAACTCAGATTGGTATTTCTGTAGGACTCGCAGTGATCTTCAAGTTCAAATATATCTAATGTTAATAGAATAACTAGTATCGGTAATGATGTAACTCAATTTTTAATTATTTCAAAATACAGAAAAAAAAAAGAAAACATTAAACTGTTTTACATCAAGCACACGTCCAGCAAGATTAGTTTATTCCAATCCATACCTCCTTTAATCCCCGTACAGTCCATGCTGTCATCATTGTTTTCCATAGTGAAGTTCAATCACCAGCTCCTTGTTTGTTGTTACCTTGATTCTGCAGAGCTTTGGGCTTTTATGACGTAATATTCCTTTATGACGCATTTATTATTCTATGACGTTTTAAACGTCATGTCTATACGGCATCATAACGTCACAGTGTTTTTCCAGACGTTGACGTTGTGATAACGTCCTGGGTCTGGAAAGCGTATTTGAAAACAGCGTGCTTAAAAGACATGAATGGATGAAAATGTTGCATAGACGGATTGCATGCCTGGTTCTGGCTTTTATTCATGGACAACGCGCTTCGTGAACCATAGTAGTATCCAACTAAATTTTCCCCTTTTTGACGATATATTAGACAACTTAATAATATAGTGTGTGACACAGTTAACAGGCGGTTTTGCTTTCAACCACAATGTCTTAGATAGCTTGCGACCCTCCCTCTCACGACCCCTCCCTCTTGGGGTTCTAGTAGTCCTGTGCGTATTCTCATTTTAAAAACAAATAGAATTATGCCCTGTGAGAGAAAGCGGACGTCCTGCTCGTATTTCCTTTCACTTGGTACTATACTTCGTAGTCCCATCAAGACTGTGCACTGTTTGTTTAATAATGTCTGGAGCGACTTCACCGTCGACATTAAAATTGCAAAGACTATTGAAAACGAAATCTGTTCTGCTGTCGATCGCGTTTATTTACATTTTGAAAAATTGAGCCTCAGTGGTAAACAAAATCATAAAAAATAAAGTATTTAACCTCTTTAAGGCCCATTCGATTTTACTTCTAAAACATCAAGCTATTTACTATCTCTATCATTTGTTTTACATTCTGTACGCATCATCTACATGTTAAAACTTATCACATGAAAATGAAGAAAATAGAAAATATTCAAAATAGGCCAAAATGAAAACCAACCACTGTTAACAGTTTAAATCTAGAAGTGAAAAAATGTATCTGCAAATGAAAAAAATGTTGACCTGCAAAATATGGGTGTGCTTAATTAAATTGATAATATTGATTATATTATATGTCTTCGTATATCTTCATGCACTTCGGCACGATTTCAACAAAAATACATTATATTATTTGTAAGGTGCGTTCACTACATTTCCTTAGTTATATCAATCCCAATTCAAAAATCATCAAAGAGTCAAATCATATAAGTCACTTCTCATTAATGTACTTATATGTGGCTACTTGTCCTGGGATGAATGGATTTACGCATTCTTTAGTTCCAACAACAAGCTCTCCTTTACTGTTGACATCAACTGACACAGGATACTCAGTGCTGTCAAACCTTGTCAAATTTTTTCGTAGAAATCTTCCGTCTGAACCAAGGACAACCACCCTGTGATTACCACTGTCAGCTATGAAGATATGTCCAAACCTATCTACGCACACTCCTCGTGGATTACTCAGTTGTCCGTCTCCACTTCCACTCTGACCTCGTGTTCCGTATTGGAACATGACGTCACCCTGGGGTGTCACTGCATACACACAGTGTGCGCTGTAGTCGCTGACTATAACTGCATTGATGCCGTGGTGGTATGCACAGCGCAGTGAACATTTACTGCACATTGGGATAGGAATTCTGTTAACAAGTTGAAAAGATTTCATGTCGTACTCACAGATGCACTGTGCACCACTATCACACACGTACACCTTACCCTCTGTACGGTCCACAGTGACACCCCAGGGGTCAGACATATCACCCTGACCAAAACATTGGATAACCTGACCTGATGTTGAATACAGTCTACAGCATTTATCGTAGCATGTGACCACAAATGTATCTTTATTGACTGTAGTGATATACATCGCCCCTCCCTCTATACTGATCCCACCATTATATTGACCTGTGCTGGAGAATACAGACACTGTATTATCACAGAAAAAGTCACGTTGTAAAACTAAAACACATCCGTTATCTGCACACTGCATATCCCACAGGGAATTCTGAACAAAGAAATGAATATTCCGCTTTGGCGTATCAAGCCATGTTATCTTACTTGTTGTCTTCTGAAACTCAATCAACTCGGGATAGTTAGTTTTCTTCTGTTTCAATTTACCAAAATATGCATCCAAGGGACCGAGGTATGTTTTGGCCGTAATTGACCCCGTTCTGATGGACAGCTGTGGTTCAGGGATTTTAGGAAACTGTAGCACAACGTCCATTGCTGTTTGTCCTTGAGTAAATGTTACATCGGTGATCTTGGTATCTAAGACTGGTTCTACTGTCTGTAACTCCTGAATTCTAGTTTGGAGATTTTTAGAGTGGGTCATGACCTCAATGTCAAAACCAGTGTCTGTGAGCTGTTGAGCGAAATCGCGAATGCTCTGAATGGAAATCTTGCTCATTTCTTGCTTGTCTTTTTCAGCTTCTAACGTCTTCAGCTGCGTGGAGGTGAGTGCCTTAACTTCTGCCGTTATCTCGTTGCATTTGGTATCTAAGACTTTTTGCATTTCGTTGTAATCTGACTGTACTTTTATTCGATACGTTTCTAAATGTTGTTTTACACTTGCTAAATACGCATCTGTCTGTTGACGTATGTCTTTCTCTACTTCATGATAATAAGTATTGAGTTCCCTTTCAATGATTTTACTGTTTTCTTTTATGTTCTTTGTCATAGCCAATTTCTGAGAATCCCCCAAACAAAGAACCTTTGTCTGATTTTCTGACAGCCTCTCTATCGTTCGCACGATGGTATTCTCCGCCTTTTCAAAACGAGACAGTTTCTGAGTAGGGAGACATGCTAGCTTCTCTTGTATTAGATCCCGTTGAACTTTCACCACATCCCCTAATTCTTTGAAATCGTGTTTGCTGTGGACTTTTACAATACATTCCCTGCATATAACAGTGTCATCGTTTACACAGTAAAATGCTAGCGGTTCTCCATCGTGTTTGTCGCAGAATTGAGTCATATCTAATACCTGTCGCAATTGTTCTCTTATGTTAGCTGGATTAACTGAAAAATCGACCTTTGACAGAGGTACAAAGTGATGTCCATTTAATGCAGGAATGCTGTCATGCAACTCCCGACATGTAGCACACAGTTGGTTGGTTTTTGGACATCCTTGGCACGCAAAAGTGGCCTTTTTATGCTTACAATACTCACAAAGTCTCCCCTCGGGCGCTTTCTGATCTTTTATGAAATCAGTTACTTTTCTTAGGAAGAAGTTTTTCACAAGAGTTTCTAACCCACCTGGTGGTACAGGGGCCTCTTGGCGACATACGGGACAGGAGAACTTATTCTGGACACCATTCTTGCCCGCATGGTCAGCAATGCATTCCAGACAGAACGTGTGGTAACAGGGGAGAACTCTCGGGTCTTTATATTCCTCCAGGCATATATGACACGTTAAAAAGTTCTCACTGAAGACGTTGCACATCTCGTTTGAATCCATTAGCGCCCAGCGCCCCGCCCCCTGCACGCCGACAGCCCCGCTCTACTGCTGCCAAGGCCGTTCCGAACTCTTATGTATGTGCACTTTAGTACGTTATCTATATTATTTCCCCATTGTCACCCGATCTACACGTGACAATCAGGTGATGTTGACAATAACCAGGATATCAAAGTCTAGAGCCTGTACTATCTAATTGTTTTACATATCAGTAATACAATGTACAAGTGTGTGCGCATATGTTTGTGAGGGGTTGGGGGTGTGGGGGTGTTTTATTATTGCCTTTTGACTGGGTACTACTAAACATATTTCTCTGTTTAAATATGAAATCTATAGTGTGGTATACAGTCATATTTCATTTTCGTATTTTATTGTAATCTCACGCTCACAATTGTGTTAGTGTTTTTAGGTTTGCGTTCATTCTAAGGACAAAATGTAAATAAAGATGTGGAAATAAACAGTTATCTTTTATGCTGGTTGTATTCTATATCATCAAACGACTCAAACTAAATGACGTTGAGTTATACTGGTGTAATCTTGTACAAGCGACCCAAGTGTGTATCTATATTTTTTTCTAAAAATTTACACCAGTTGGTAGGCTAAACCTTTTTTATTAAACCAGTCCATCCATGATTTCTGTAAAAAAAAAAAAAAAAGGCTTTTGTACTCTTTACAAGCAAACGCACACTAGAAGGTAAATCACCCCTTCCCATTTAGAACATACAGGAATTTGTCAACATAATATAAGGATATAGATCAAAGGGAGTTGAAACTATGTCTTCATTTGATGTAACAGTACTGTTCACTTGTACACCACCTGAATTTACCATACTGGTTTTGAGAGCATGCTTAGAGAAAAGCTCCACCCCAGATAGCAGAGTCACTTGCTCTATTGACAATTTAGTGGACCTTGTAGATATATGCCGCAGTACAACATACTTTTCACATCATGGGGAACTCTTAAAACAGCTACGATTCTACTCTATGGGCAGTCCCACCCGACCCATTGTTGCCAACCTGTGTATGGAAGGATTTAAAATCAACGACTTACATCTTACATGGTACTAAACCAAGACCAGAACCAGTTTGTTGATGACACATTTGTTATCACTGAGAAAAGTGAACAGGACAATTGATTCTGATAACAACATTAAATTCATTCAGGTTGAAGAACTTCCATCCCTAGGACTACAATTCCTGTCACACAGGCTGGCCCTAACTTGTAGTAATCATATGTGATCCCTGAATTCCATTCCAATAACTACCTTTCCTCTCAATCTGAGCGGCGGGACACGAACATAAGCTATGGATTGAGATTGGAATCATAAACCACAATAGTCATCAACTCAGTGGTTTGTATTCACCACGTTTTTTTTTTTTCTTATGTGTTCTTTTTCGTGATACATTACTCAACATGATAATAACAGACTTTCAAACATTCAAACACAATGTCCTAGTTTCCACCTTTCCCTCTCACGACCCATCCCTCTAGGATTTTTTGTAGTGCTGTACATATAAAAATATCAGAGCACAGTCCCGAGGGGACTACGAAGTACAGTGTCTTGTGAGAAAAGCAGAGGGCCCTGCTCGTATTTTCTCTCACTGGACAATATACCTCTCTTTGAGCAATGTATAATAATAATNGGCATTTTTACAATCGAGATGTTCGA